AAAACGAGTTTGTCTTCCTGGCACTATAGTGGTCCTTTAAGGAAAAAAGGTTCACCTGTAAATGTAGCCTTGTAGTGATGTATTTATTGAAGTTCAGTGATATTCTGACACCATCTGTTATTACCTAATTACCCCAAAAAGAGGTGTCTCCATCAATGAAAATAGAGACCTGCACCTTTCCTGTACTTAGTTTCCAAAGTAACATATAAAACATTAAAATTTGATGAAAATACTATAACTGATAACTTGTTTCACCCCTGCCTGTTCTCCTTTTGATGTAAGTCGTTGTTTGATACAATGTTGTATGCAGGGGTCAAGTCCTGGGGAAAAAAGTGTGGGAACTCACCCAAGATTCCCGCCCCGCCCCCCCCCCTTTAAAAAAAAAAAATTACACTCCTATGCATATAGTGCAGTGCAGGGTGTGTATAATGAATGTAGTGTGTTTGTAGTGAATGCAGAGTGTGTATAATGAATGCAGTGTGTTTTTAGTGAGTAGAGTGTGTACACTGAATGCAGGTGTAAGTTTGTAGTGAATGCAGAGTGTGTATAGTGAATGTAGTGTGTAGTGAGTGCAGAATGTGCATAATAAATGCAGAGTGTGTATAGTGAATGCAGAGGGTGTATAGTGAATGTAGTGTGTTTGTGTGAGTGAAGAGTGTGTATAATGAATGCAGTGTGTGCGTGTGCGCGCTGGATGACGTGTGTGTGAGTGCTGGATGATGTGTGTGTGTGTGCTGGATGATGTGTGTGTGTGTGCTGGATGATGTGGTGTGTGTGTGCTGGATGATGTGCGTGTGTGTGCTGGATGATGTGCGTGTGAGTGCTGGATGATGTGTGAGTGAGTGCAGGATGATGTGTGTGTGTGCTGGATGATGTGTGTGTACTGGATGATGCGTGTGTGAGTGCTGGATGATGGGTGTGTGTGTGTGTGCTGAATGATGGGTGTGTGAGTGCTGGATGATGTGTGTGTGTGTGCTGGATGATGGGTGTGTGAGTGCTGGATGATGGGTGTGTGAGTGTTGGATGATGGGTGTGTGTGTGCTGGATGATGGGTGTGTGAGTGCTGGATGATGGGTGTGTGAGTGCTGGATGATGGTGTGTGCTGGATGATGGGTGTGTGTGCTGATGATGGGTGTGTGAGTGCTGGATGATGGGTGTGTGTGTGCTGGATGATGTGTGTGTGTGTGCTAGATGATGGGTGTGTGAGTGCTGGATGATGTGTGTGCTGGATGATGTGTGTGTGAGTGCTGGATGATGGGTGTGTGAGTGCTGGATGATGGGTGTGTGAGTGCTGGATGATGTGTGTGTGTGTGCTGGATGATGGGTGTGTGAGTGCTGGATGATGGGGAGGGGGGGACATTTTTTTTTACTTTATGTGTATGTATATTTATTTTATTTTACTCCCCCCTCCCTGCTTCTTACCTTGTCAGGGAGGGGGGAGATCGCCTGGTGGTCCGGTGGTATGCTGGAGGGAACCAGCCGCTGCACAGAGGGGCCATCACACGCTGTGTTCCCTCTCCAGCTCTAACTCTCGCGAGACTCGCCTGTGCGGAGCGTTGCCATGGTAACAGCCGCGGGTCTCGCGAGAGTTACAGCTGGAGAAGGAACACAGCATGTGACGGCCCCTCAGTGCAGGGACCAGGGCCGGTCCTGCAGGACAGGTAACGGGAACGGCGTTCCTGCTTTGGAAAAAGTGCAGGAACGCCGTTCCCATGCGTTCCTGCAGGACTCGAGCCCTGGTTGTATGTTTTTGAAGAAACTTGGTTTTATGATTGAGCACTGCTGGGTTGCCCCACAGTGTTTGTCTTGAGTAAAATAGGCCTTGACTATAGACCTCTTTGAACTACAAAGCTGTAATTTAATAATTAAATGTGTCTTAAATTTGATGCTAGTTCAATAAAGAAATAATACTACATGAAAAAAATCAGTTCACTCTGATTCACAGATTCCTTAACATGTTTGATCTATAAAACCCCAAACCATTGACATTTTCCCCCAGGAGCATAGCAGTTGATGACTAGTTAGTACCATGTAACCATGGTGACACAAAATTGTGATAATGTATTTTGATGGAATATGCTAAACCTTCACTAAATATACAATGTTTTCAGATGTGGCAGTAAACGTCAGCATAGTACTCTGCGGTATCACAAAACGGCTGCACTTTAATAAGATCTACAGCCCTTTTAGCCTTCGGAAGTTCCTATACACAATAATGCACATCTGATATTTTAAGTGATACTTTTGTCTCTGCAGTCCATTAAAACATTGGCAAGTTTTGGTGGGAGGAATATATAGCTTCAGTGAAATCCAGACCAAAGCAATCCGAAGGAAACCCAAATGCATTTTTAAAAAAACCATAATGTTACAAAGGTTTGGCTAGTATCCTTCTAGATTCTTTCAGATAGTTTTCAATTAAACCTTCTGTATGCTTTTTCACAATTGTGCCAATATTTTTCTGCTGTTGTGATATTTTAGCTTTATCTGTTAAATTAAATCTTTCTTGAACTGTTTTGCTAACAGCTTACATCTTTATTTTGTAACATTTAACTGACTTTCTAAGGACCATAACCCTCTACAGCAGGCTTCCCCAAACTCCGGCCCTCCAGATGTTGCTGAACTACAACTCCCATGATTCTCAGCCTATCTAAAAAAGCCTGGACATTCCCCATTTGCAATACCTTGGGTTGTCTACTATTGCAAATGGTATGCCATCATGGGGTTAATTTTCATTCCTGGGCTACCGTACGGTCTCAAAGACCTGGTGAATTTCAATGTGAAAAAACTGAAACACAAGCCTTATATTTTACTTTTGAAAATATCATAAAACCTGTACATGAGGGCTACTGTTATACTTGGGAGACTTCACTGAACACAAATATTAGTGTTTCAAAACAGTAAAACGTATCACAACAATTATATCGTCCATGTAAGTGCCATTTGTGTGTGAAAAATGCAAAAAATTTCACTTTCACAGACGATATCATTGTTGTAATACATATTACTGTTTTGAAACACTAATATTTGTGTTCAGCGAAGTCTTCTGAGTAAAACAGTACCCCCCCATGTACAGGTTTTATGGTGTCTCGGAAAGTTACAGGGTTACATATAGTGCTAGCAAATTAAATTCCCTGGACTTTTGGCCTGGGTTGTCATGCAGGTCCCGCAAATTGTAATTAATAAAATGACCTAATTATGTAAAATTATTATAGACAAAGGTACTTCCAAGTAGAGAACAAACTCTAACAAGGAGTACAAAAGAAAGGGTTATAGGGGTAGTAAAGAGGGCATAACCCTACATATAATGCAAATTAGAGAAGAACTGAGGAGAAATCACCTCGTACATAGATGGGGCAATCCTCCTCAAGACAGCACCCCCAAAAAAGTGTAAAAGCTTAGAAAAAAACAAAAATAAACTTTATTGAAAACAAACAGTATCCAAAAAATAGAAATAAAAAATACAAAAACTAGATACTGACAAGTAAATTGGCTACCAGTCACTGTCTGGTTACTTCTGTGGTAGCATGAATAACTTCCCTAGAGATGTAACAATCCTGCTTACAACAAAATTATAGAAACATTGTTGCGATGCTAATTTACAGAGACTCAACCTACAGATAATCAGTAGGTGCAAAAAAGCAGTGCGCTGTGCTCCAATGAATAGACCAGAGGGAAAAAATAAAATGAAAAAAATTCCCCATATAAATCAAACCTTCTACCAATAGCCCATAATTTATATCAATGGCTATCCTATCCCTAAAAAAGTAGGAAATCGAAAGGACAGAGAGAGGTATGTGAGGAAAAATAAAGGGAGAGAAATAATCTCCAGGGGGGACCAGAGTAAAGAAAAGGAGGACACCTCCACTGTGAGCACCCCTTATGTAAATATCCAAATGCCCCTACTAATACAGAGACCGGCACAGCATAAACTGCAGACACAGTATTCTAGTAAAAATAAAATTAAATAAACTACGTCAAAGTACCCATATTCAGCAGGTTTCTTTTATATGTGTGTATATATATATGTATGTATATAATTTTTAAAAACATATATAGTGATATATACGTATATACTTATGTATATAGATATATATATTATTTCATTCTACATGTATTAAAAGATTTAATTCTACATGTTTTAAACAGTTCCATCCATTAAACAATAAAAGATTCAATGTATGCGTGAGACTCGCAGGTCTCGATGCAATCAATCAATAAGGCATTGAGATACATGAAATTTGAATTGTAGTCTCGTGGAGGATAACAGAAAGTAGCTACAAATGCATGTATATATTATATTCAGCTAGCTATTCTAAGATTCATATGGAAGGGTGGCAAACCCCTCGGGGTCCAACCACGTGTGTTGCCCACTCAGAAAGCACCTTGTGTTTGTTCTGAGTTCGGTCTAGCGGATCTGATTAGATAGAGGACGGGTCGCCTGTATCTGGTGCACCTGTACTGTTAGCCACGTAGGCTTGTGAGGTTCCTAGAGTCTGGATTATTTTTTAGTCACTTTGAAGGGGTATGGCAGCGGTCTGGGGTAAGAGGTACTGGTGGGTTCATGTGTGCGTGGCTTCCCCCTACCCATAACTACTTGGTGCGCTATGGGTGTGCGACTCTCGGATTTGGCTGGTATGTCGCCTTTCTCAGTAATAGCATAACGCTTCATAGACTCCCCTTATAGTAGGCAGGCATGCCCCCGGAAGTGCCTGTGGGACACGTAAGGGAACAAAAAGAAGAGGAAATGAGCAAATGGTAGTCTGAGGATAGCAGAAAGGTAGACATAGGAGAGTGTGGGGTTAAGAGCGTCCCAGCCGAACAGGAGGCTCAGCCCCTATTTAGTCCCCTGTTGTCCAGCCCCAGTGCGCTCTAGCCACGTATGCAAACCAGGGCCGTCAAAGTTCCATGTGTTTCATGTCGAGCCCCATCAGGGATGCCTGCATGGCCTCTGCTGACTGGATTTCCATTACTCTATCCAACCACTAATAAAATCTATGTTAAAATAGCAATACAGGGAGTGCAGAATTATTAGGCAAATGAGTATTTTGACCACATCATCCTCTTTATGCATGTTGTCTTACTCCAAGCTGTATAGGCTCGAAAGCCTACTACCAATTAAGCATATTAGGTGATGTGCATCTCTGTAATGAGAAGGGGTGTGGTCTAATGACATCAACACCCTATATGAGGTGTGCATAATTATTAGGCAACTTCCTTTCCTTTGGCAAAATGGGTCAAAAGAAGGACTTGACAGGCTCAGAAAAGTCAAAAATAGTGAGATATCTTGCAGAGGGATGCAGCACTCTTAAAATTGCAAAGCTTCTGAAGCGTGATCATCGAACAATCAAGCGTTTCATTCAAAATAGTCAACAGGGTCGCAAGAAGCGTGTGGAAAAACCAAGGCGCAAAATAACTGCCCATGAACTGAGAAAAGTCAAGCGTGCAGCTGCCACGATGCCACTTGCCACCAGTTTGGCCATATTTCAGAGCTGCAACATCACTGGAGTGCCCAAAAGCACAAGGTGTGCAAGAGACATGGCCAAGGTAAGAAAGGCTGAAAGACGACCACCACTGAACAAGACACACAAGCTGAAACGTCAAGACTGGGCCAAGAAATATCTCAAGACTGATTTTTTCTAAGGTTTTATGGACTGATGAAATGAGAGTGAGTCTTGATGGGCCAGATGGATGGGCCCGTGGCTGGATTGGTAAAGGGCAGAGAGCTCCAGTCCGACTCAGACGCCAGCAAGGTGGAGGTGGAGTACTGGTTTGGGCTGGTATCATCAAAGATGAGCTTGTGGGGCCTTTTCGGGTTGAGGATGGAGTCAAGCTCAACTCCCAGTCCTACTGCCAGTTCCTGGAAGACACCTTCTTCAAGCAGTGGTACAGGAAGAAGTCTGCATCCTTCAAGAAAAACATGATTTTCATGCAGGACAATGCTCCATCACACGCGTCCAAGTACTCCACAGCGTGGCTGGCAAGAAAGGGTATAAAAGAAGAAAATCTAATGACATGGCCTCCTTGTTCACCTGATCTGAACCCCATTGAGAACCTGTGGTCCATCATCAAATGTGAGATTTACAAGGAGGAAAAACAGTACACCTCTCTGAACAGTGTCTGGGAGGCTGTGGTTGCTGCTGCACGCAATGTTGATGGTGAACAGATCAAAACACTGACAGAATCCATGGATGGCAGGCTTTTGAGTGTCCTTGCAAAGAAAGGTGGCTATATTGGTCACTGATTTGTTTTTGTTTTGTTTTTGAATGTCAGAAATGTATATTTGTGAATGTTGAGATGTTATATTGGTTTCACTGGTAATAATAAATAATTGAAATGGGTATATATTTGTTTTTTGTTAAGTTGCCTAATAATTATGCACAGTAATAGTCACCTGCACACACAGATATCCCCTAACATAGCTATAACTAAAAACAAACTAAAAAACTACTTCCAAAAATATTCAGCTTTGATATTAATGAGTTTTTTGGGTTCATTGAGAACATGGTTGTTGTTCAATAATAAAATTAATCCTCAAAAATACAACTTGCCTAATAATTCTGCACTCCCTGTATCAGGGCGGCAGGATTCCTTTGATATTGCTATTTTAACATTGATTATATTGTTTTTTTTTATCATATGCTTCTTATCCTGATTGTGTACCAGTTCCCTCCTGGATATTGAAGACACCTTACGATTTTGATGGGCTTTTTAACCACTGATTTCTTGTGAGTGCAATCTAATAAAGTTATCCTTTATATACAGTTGAACACTATGTCTTGCTTTTCTCCTTTTCCTTAAAGTATAAGAGTGGGAAAAGAGAAGAAAAGAAGCCTTTAAAGAGATTTACATACTCCGCCTCTTTTACTCATATGTTTGTGAAGAGTTCCTTTTAGGGTTTTAGAGGGAATCCCTTAAGTAAAAGTTTATCTTTTATTGTACAGTTATTTAGTGCTGCTCCATCCCCTTTGTTTGCTTTATTGCTTTAACTACACTATCTGGTCCGTGGGACTGTGCTTGGTATTGTGCAGTTTAGCTAGGGTAAACGCCTTGCTAGGACTTTAAATATGGACCTTGCTACATGTCTAGAAGGCGGAGGGGGGTATACATTTGGTCTGTCGATTATCCAAGCTGGTGGGAAATAGTTCATCACATAATAATACAAAAGAAAGGGTAAATAGTGGGTAAACTAAGACAAGATAAACGGGGAAAGAGAGCAAGTCGGTTGTGGTGTGCCGCAACCAACTGGCACACCACAACTGTAAATAAAAGAGGGCAGAAATATAGATTCATGCAATTTTAATACAGTCAACAATATACATTTAACTTATACAGACATTTTCTTAAAAGCATGGCGTAGTGACCTTAATAGTTGGAAGGATTGAGGCCTAGTCACATAATTAAGGATCTGATGTACAGCATGAATTTTGGAGTTTTAAGGACAGATCCGTGTAGTGAGGTTGTGAGGGGTAATTGCAGGGGTTAAGAAGATATGAGCCTAATACAGCTACAGGGCACCATTTGTTGTTTGTAGGGTAGTACAGAATATATACTGGTAGGTTATCTTGACTTATTTTAGTATGAGGTAAGGAGAGTATGTTTGTTTATAGATATGTTTTGGTTGACCTGATTTCTGTATGCCTTTGAGTATGGTTTTAAACTGATATATAAGGACAATGATTGTTTGGAACTATGAGTGTTTGGCCAAAGGTTTAACATGCAATATTTTATTCCTGTAAGGTATAATTTAATGGTGTTGTATGAAAATTGAAGTTTGAGATGGCAAAAGGAAGCAAAACCTAATAACTTTGTCATTGTGAAAGGATGAGTAATGTTGTGTTCCAAGATGAATCTTTTGAATAAAACAAAAGCTCTATCATATGCTCTTTGTGTGTTGACAGAGAGAGCAATTGTGACAACCTTCAACTGTGTTGTAATAGGATATCTAATCCATGATCAGGTTCTAAAACGAGGGTCGGCTTTGGCTACTCGTGTGGCCTTGAGCAGGGCTTGGTGAAATGCCTGAAATTGAAGCAATATAATTAACACCTCGTACATGAATGCATGACAAGAAAAATTGGTTACAAGCAGCCAACCAAGTTAACCTCCTAAGGAATTTCAATATTAAAGGACCACTATAGTGCCAGGAAAACATACTCGTTTTTCTGGCACTATAGTGCCCTGAGGGTGCCCCCACCCTCAGGGACCCCCTCCCGCCCGGCTCTGGAAGGGGGAAAGGGGTAAAACGTACCTTTTTCCAGTGCTGGGCGGGGAGCTCTCTGCCTCCTCTCTTCCTCCGTTCCGCCCCGTCGGCTGAATGCGCACGCGCGGCAAGAGCTGCGCACGCATTCAGCCGGTCGCATAGGAAAGCATTCATAATGCTTTCCTATGGACGCTGGCGTGCTCTCACTGTGAAAATCACAGGGAGAAGCATGCAAGCGCCTCTAGTGGCTGTCCATGAGACAGCCACTAGAGGATTAGGTGGAAGGCTTAACCCATTCATAAACATAGCAGTTTCTCTGAAACTGCTATGTTTATAAAAAAATGGGTTAACCCTAGCTGGACCTGGCACCCAGACCACTTCATTAAGCTGAAGTGGTCTGGGTGCCTAGAGTGGTCCTTTAAAGATGATGAGCGCCCATTATTTATAATGTAGGACGTGGATTGGTTATCTGAAAAGCAACATATCGAATGTCCTGACCACAGATGGCCCTAAGCACTGCAGCCACTGCTATTGAGTATAAAAAGGGTCAGAATAGGATCAGCGCTAAGATGCCACAGGAAAATAGTTGTGTGTATATGGTACAGGCAGCATTATTTTCTACTTGAAGAAGCCTGTTTAGGCAAAAAGCATCTAGAAAAAGTATTTTATTTTGTTATAATAAAGGAATTTTTGGCTCTGAATACCTTGGTTGCCATATTTCATATTATTTTATTTTGCTCTTAACCTGACTACATTGATATTCATCGCCCAAAAGAAGCTTAAGGTGAGGATTGTACCACCCACGCGCTGTACATCGAGCAGTGAGCCTGCTCAACACACTGTGAGTAAATTTCATACTTTTATTCTTCTACTATAGCAAGATACAGTGAGCACTATATATTTTATTATTTTTACTTTTGGCTGGAACCACACTGCTGTTGGACTACTGTATTACTGGTTACACTACATATATCCTTGAGTGGGGATTATTCCACTTCACGCATTCCATACCAGAGCTGGATTTTAGCTCTGGAAATTGTGAGTAGTACCTAATTATTATTATTCCAATATCCAAGTTTATCTACCTACTGCACCATTGGATTTCAGTCTTTCTGTTTCTCTTTCCATATGTTCTACTGAATTTCAAGCTTACACTCGTGACGAACTACCCAATCTGCTGCTCTACAAGAACTCTCCCTACCACTGTGGATTACACTACATTGGACTAATGTTAAGTCATTTGGACTATATCTTATTATCCACCTGTATATAGTATCTATATTACTTATTTTAAGGAGCACCCTTTTCCTGTTTCTTTGTTTTGTCACTACTATTGAGTATATCTCGAATAGTGCTGAGGTGTTGGAGAAACCTTCCATATTCAGGACTTCTGCTGGCCAACTACTCCAAAGCCATTCATTACCATATATGGCTTCAAAGCCTGTGATAGCCACAGTGTCTGTCCATATAGTTGGTGAATTCTCAGAAATTTCAGAAAGAAACGTGTTTCTTCCGTTCCACGTAATTAAGAACCTATGCCACATAAGCTAGTCTTCTGTGGCTTGGGCATCTAGTGTAAGTTGACTATCATCATTAATAAAGTAGGGAAACAGACAGAACAATCGAGATATGAATGAACGACCTTGGGGAACGATCCTCAAAATTTAGAGATCTTAATAGCGATTGCATTTCTTTCTGATTGCAAGAACCTAAGTGAAGGTATTGTTCTATGCATGTGAGTATGTGGTTTACTTTGTCCTTGGGTAAGCTGGCCTGCATGGAAATTGAATCTAGTTGGATACCAAGAAAATTAATGATGGTGTCTGGAAATTAGAATATGGGTAAAGGAGTCATTATCAGACTGGAGCAGTTTAAATAGAGTCCAAGAGAAATGGGATTATTTAAAAGTTGCACTGCTGAAGGCAACAGAAAATTGCATTAGGATTGTCAGTAAAAGCAAAAAAGTTAAGAAACCACTGAGGTATTCTGCAGAAGAGGCCTAAATAGTTAAAAACAAAAAGTTAGCATTTAGTAATAATAAAAAAAGCAGAGTGAGGAAGATAGACAGATCTATAAGATTAGACAGAAAGAGGCTAAGCAATTTATAAGAGCTTCCAAATCACACACAGAAGAGAAAATAGCACAGTCAGTAAAAAAAGGGGACAAAAC